CTGCAAGCATCTCTCACAATGGAACAAGGCGGTCCGTCGTCTCAGAGCATTTCAAGATTTTCCACATCATCGGACGATGTAGTGAATGAAATGCAGCCTGAAAATCGAGGTAACTGGCAAACCAATGCAACTGGAATTCGTTGGCATTGCTCAGAGATCCTATGCAGTAAAACTTTGGTCAGCATGGGTACCCTATTCAGAAGCCAACTTAATTAGGGCGAAGTCTCTCATCAGTTACCAGCCTCAGCTTTTCTACAATAATTGACGACTTTCTCGGGAGTTGACAGTAGTGGGACACAGTCATAATTGGAACACTCGGTCACCCGACCCCCATTAAACATAATGACAATTATTGCCCACTTTTATTCTCCTAAGAAACGCTTTTAGGTCTACATTTGATGAAATAGGGCACTGGGCTCTTTTGCCATTTCCGTTTTTCTATACTGCAATAACTTAGGAGGAATTCGACCGACAATGCAGACTGCCTCAATTTTGAAGTATAGCAAGGCATTTTGAACTGATAATTTTGTGGGCGTTTATGTAGTAACCTCTAGTGTTGGTACAGAATGAACGATCAGAAATGATGATTCTAGAGGGCAGCCATTCAGCCGTTGCTGGAAATACTCAGCCTATATTTTGAGACGTTCCTTCTGGCCTGCAAGTGGGAAAATCTTAACATCTTGGATGAAACACAACCCCCTACTTACCGTACAACTGTCACAGCCCTTTGAACAGCCAATCAAGACAGAGAGCCTTATCAATCGTTTTAATTTTCCCCTTCAACCAAACTCCCCTACAGCCTGTAGTTGTGGCTGATTTCAAGAACGAGATGACTTCAAAGGTAATGTAAGACGTCGCAAGTACTTTTTGTCTGATTCCTCAGCACTCTAAGAGCTCGGGTCTTCGCAGTTCGGCCATTCTTCACCTGACCTGAAATACGTTCATCAATGAATACCAACTTGCCACCTTCTTTAAATTCTTTGTAAATTACATCGGCATTGTCACTTCCTGACTGGACACTAAAGGTCGCCTAAAATAACTGGCTGATCGCAAATTACTGACTACTAGCCAGCTTTGACTTTAACAGCACAAACTGTTAAGTATTCTTTGCACATCTGATGATTTCTTGCTAACATATGAAGGGACTCCTTCATTAATAGCCATAATCTGGTGTTTTCCCTGTCAAGTTACAAAACACTCGCACTGATGACACATTTTTACAATGATATTGAATGCAATGCCTGAGTATTTAGCATAGCAATTTCGTACTGGAGATCTTTCCTATATAAATTCTATCAAAATCAAAATAGCTCATTTTATAAGCTGCACTGAGACCTTAAGCTAGGTTGTTGGAAAGAAACTTTTTGCAAACAATTATGCTTCATATAAATCAAAGTCTCTGAATTAACTGAACATTAATCGGTGTGATATTAACCGCCAATAAAATTTTTTATTTTTCTCCTGAACTACTAAGCACATGTAAGTGTTACCTCGCATGGAATGGCGAATCTGTTTTTATTGTATTCGTCAGGTATGGTGTATCTGTTTATTTTAAACTCCAAGCGCAACTAGGTAAAATCCATCATGGCTCCCAAAACAACATTTTACTCTAAAGATCTTACAATATTACACTATTTCGGCTGATCAGTCTTAGCCCTCTAAAAGTTCAACAAAGGATCACATAGCACGTACACAGAATAATGCACAGCAACTTGGATGCAGTTACCAAAGGTGTTTTAAAGTCGCACGCTACAGAACAGAGAAACTGTCCTAGATTACTTCCGCGTCTAAACATAACAGAGTAAATGAAACGGCCAATATAAAATCATTTTCCCGTTCTGCTTACATATGGGTAAGCTAAAATAACTTCTCTGTTAGCTGGCTTACCGTCCTCAAGCATATACCATAAATACATATTACATGATGGCAACGTTTTTTATGTACGCCACTGAGCTATGCATTGGCATATCTGGAGAAGACTAGCGGTTGATTAGTCGAAATATTGTAACTTTGTAAGATCTTTAAAGCAAAACGTAGTGAAATGTCATGTGAGTTTATCATATTCGTAATGGAAGGCCAGGAAAACTTTCAAAACCATGCAAGTGTAAAATTCTAACGTTAATTGAGGACTCACTGCATTTACCGTCCACAATTACTTGTTTCAAAAAATAAATCGTTACCCCGCTCATAAAACAAGAACATCGTGGTCGAAAGACGTTAAACAGATGCTTTAAAATCAATGTTAAACAGCTGAGAAATCAGCAGGTATGAAAACCCAAAGACGTTCTGCTAATATAAAGACTCAAGGTGATGATCACATGGAACACTTGCTATGCTCCAACATGGGACATAAATGAGCACAAGCTAATGCTGGTCAGACTTTTCCATACAGGCAAAACAAACAGACTATCTGTACCAAAATCTAGAAAAAGAATAACATAATCCTCTCTTCAGTCAGATGTACAAACTAGAACAACGGCATAGCACAATGTCTGGTTTTGAATATTTGAGTGAAAGAAGAGGGGGTGTTCTTTTCCATTAATTTTCTGCTGTCATCGATTCAACAACGTCAGGATCTCCTTTGAACCTAGCCCAGAGGTAACGACGATGAAACATCAATTATTGTCAAAGATTTAAACGGACAATGATTTCCAGCCCTTCTTTCTTGGCTTAAACCCATATCAATCGGCAAACGAGAGCATAAATAATTCTAATCTTCACGGTAACTGTTGTAACTAACTGTTTCTTTCATATACAGCAGCAAAGGGCCTCTCGAAAGCATATCAAGAAGTGCAACGATATGTGCCTAACAAATGCAACGCCGAA